AGTGAGAGCGTCCTGGCGGGGGGGTTGATGGCAGCTCTGTCCCTTTCCCAGCACACCCACTACCCCCAGTTTGCCAGCCGGGAGTTTTCGGGGCGCACGCGCCGGGGCCCCTTTGGGGACGCGCTGGCCGAGTTCGATGGCTCCGTGGGACAGATCCTGCAGGCGCTGCGGGAGCACGGCCTGGACAACTCCACTCTGCTGTTCTTCACCTCTGACAACGGGTGAGGGCTGGGACAGGGACAGGTGTCACCCTGGGATGGGACAGGTGTCACCGCCAGGTCCTGCTCTGGAGGGGAGCCAGGGTGTGATCTCGGTGTTCCTGGGATTCAGCTGAGTCCTGCACAAACATCCCAGGGTTTGGGCAGGACTGTGACACCCCCCAAATGTCCCCCAGGCCTCAAGCCAGCAGTGTGACAACCCCCAAATGTCCCCTAGTTCCCTCTGTGTGACACCCCCAAATGTCCCCCAGTGTCTGAGTCAGGAGTGTGACACCCCGAAATGTCCCTCAGTCCCCTCCACGTGAGTGACACCCCCCAAATGTCCCCCACGGTTTGGATCGAGAGTGTGACACCCCCCAAGTGTCCCCAATCCCCTCTGTGTGTGTGACACCGCTGTCACCCTGCCCTGCTCGGCCCTTGCCTTCTGCCCTGCCCCTTCGGGTGGCAGAGTCACGCTGGCACCGGCGCCACCTTTGTCACTGTCCCCTCGGCCAGCGTGTCCCTGGCACGTGGTGGCAGCTGCTCCTTGTCCCCGTTGTCCCCAGCCCCTCCACTCTGCGCATGGCACGCGGTGGCAGCGCCGGCCACCTCAAGTGTGGCAAGGGCACGACCTACGAGGGTGGCATGAGGGAGCCGGCCGTGGCTTATTGGCCGGGCAGGATCGCGCCAGGTGAGCCGGGCTGGGCCGTGCCACCCCCTGGGTGACATCCCGGGACAAACCCGGGCCAAACCCGGGCCGGGGATGGCAGCGGGCTCAGCCCCTCGCGTTGTCCCCGTGCCAGGAGTGACCCACGAGCTGGGCAGTACCCTGGACATCCTGCCCACCCTGAGTGCCCTGGCTGGAGCCGCCCTTCCCAAGGTGGCCCTGGATGGCTTCGACCTGAGCCCGCTGCTCTTTGGCTCGGGGAAGGTGAGTCCTGCTGGCCCCCAGGGTTTGGGCACAGCCAGACCTTTGCTACCTGGCCCGTGCCAGCCATGCCCAGGTTGCCCTCTGGGCTCCATGGGGGCTCCTGGCCACCTCCTGCCCTCGGGAGGTACCCCAGGTTTGCCCCCCAGAGCAGTCAGGATTTGGGCACAGCCAAGGCTTGGCTACCTGGCTCGTGCCAGCCTTACCAAGTTGCCCTGTGAGCTCCTGGCCACCTCCTGCCCTCGGGAGGTTGCCCAGGTGGGCTGAGCCCTGTTTGCCCCCCAGAGCCCTCGCCAGGCCGTGTTCTTCTACCCCCCATCCCCCGACCCCCTGCACGGCCCCTTCGCCGTCCGCCTGGGCAAGTACAAGGCTCATTTCTTCACCCAAGGTCAGTGCTGCCTCCTGCTTGGGGGGG